AAAAAAAAAAAAAAAAAAAAGGTAAAATAATAAAATAGCTAGCTATCTATACAATTTTGCACAAAGCTGATCTATAAGCACGTGTGCAACAGTTATGGAATGAAAAAGCGGAAAGTCCTCTGTGAACGAGAAATACGTATATGTGTAGTACGTAGACGCTAGGACAATGTAATGCTTATAATTTTCTTCTGTTCTCCACTGAAGTGGCGAAGTTGTGTTTTTTTTTTTTGCCAATTAATAGCCCGATGGAAAAAATATGATGGGGTTACAGTGGTTGGAGGAATGTACGCAGATCTGTGGATGTACCATTTTTTTTTTTTTTAAAGGAAGAAAAAATAGCTATTTTTTTTTTTTGGCCGGAATGACTCTTTTGACACATTTTTATGCGGTCAAAGGTGCAAACTATGTAAACCCGCTTTCTGCGAGTAATAAGCATACGCACATGAGTGGCACATTTATGCATAACAACTACATGGGGCCATACCAAAACTGCATGTCGTGGAATGAATTGTGCCCCGTTCCTTGCGGGGCGAAATTCTTCAAGGGGGACAACCTTTGGAGGGCCCCCCTCTTTTTTTTTTTTTTTTTTTTGTGCTTTCACAGCATATGCTTCATGCCAACCAATAAAAATAAAAAAAAAATAAACACATAACGATGTTGTTTTGTGTAGAAAGAAAATAGCCCCATTTCTGCTTAAACATTTAATCGAGTTCAGTATGTTATACGTTATATGCAAATTTTTTATCAAACAAAATGTAAAATATACCCATTTTGAATACACCTCAAAATGTTTATTTGTTTCGAATTCTTTCCATACGGAAAAAAAAAAGGAAGCGAGTTTCATGATGCATATATGAAAACATTGTGCGTTTACGTGGGCCCTACATAGGTGTACCGTAATGACGTAATATTTACACGTAAATATTTTATATGCTTATATGTACTGCGTAATGCGCTTCGAAGAAGTGGCACAGGTGGGACGCAACATCTGTATATTAAGTGAAAAAAAGCTTAAGGAACTGCAAAGTTTTGGCGCTTTTATGTATTTATTCATCTTAAACTCACGAAATAGAGATATTTAATTTTTAATTTTTTTTTTTGAGGCCCCCTGTCATGTTGTAGAGCGTTTTTGCGTTTATTTTTACAAATTTTATTTTTGTGCCTTATGTACAACTTATATATATACATGTAGCATCACATGAGAATGGAATTTTTTTTTTTTCATAAAATATACATTACAAGGAGCAATTTTATGAAAAGAAATATGTGTTCACTGTTCACTTTTTTTTAAAATTACATCTATTCCTTTTAACCGACATTTTTGTAGCCACATTGTATGCATAAATATATTTATACACAAACGCATGGGCATTTTATATTCACCCACTCCAACTCTTCCACGTGTTTCATGAACCCCAAGGCAACATTCATATGCCAACGGAATAGATAAACTTGTACGTACATTATATATGCGTGCATGTTTGTTGGAACGTAGCCATCCGAATTGCAGATAGATACCTTTTTTGTAGAAGCAAAAAAAAAAAAAAAAGTTAAAGGCCAAAAGTGTTATGCTTCACACGTAGGCACACCCCTTTGCGCAAACAAAATAGAAGGTTTTACGCGAAGCTGTTTTTCGTGTACATTTTCTGCGAATTTGACCTCTCCTATAGAAATAGAGCATTTGACACGTAAGCTTATTCACACTGAATACACTATGTAGTACATATTGTACGTGTCCCACGGTACATGCCTACATCGAACGAAGTGGCACAACCGTGACTGGTGCGGAGGCGCGTGGGTCGTAGTGTGTATAAAGTGTATGATTCGTTTTTGTGCGCCCAGCGATCGGGAGCACACATATCCCGTTCGAATTTGTTTCTGATTTGTTTATTTTTTTCGAGTGATGCATCGCACTCGTAGGGGGTATTACCCCTGCTTATGCATTGCATCCCTACACATGTTACGCAGGCTGTTGCGTATTATCCCAAGTGCGTTATTTTATTTTTCCTTTTTTCTTTTTCCCCTTACAGATCCTCGTAAAAATGGCATCGCTAAGCAGGAAGAATATCGTGAAAATTTTGGAAAGGTGTGTGAAGAATAACATTTTGAAGGATAACAGTCGACAACTATGCACAAGCAAGACTAACTTGAATAGAGCATCCGGAGACATAATAGGTATTGACTTAGGTACAACGAACAGTTGTGTTGCGATTATGGAAGGAAAGCAAGGAAAGGTTATTGAGAACGCAGAAGGGTTTAGGACAACCCCCTCCGTTGTAGCATTCACCAATGATAACCAAAGGTTAGTTGGTATAGTGGCGAAGAGACAAGCAATAACGAACCCAGAAAATACGGTATATGCAACGAAAAGGTTTATAGGCAGAAAATTTGATGAAGATGCAACTAAAAAGGAACAAAAGAATTTACCGTACAAAATTGTTAGAGCACCAAATGGAGATGCATGGATAGAAGCCCAGGGAAAGAAATATTCCCCAAGCCAAATAGGAGCGTGTGTTTTGGAAAAAATGAAAGAAACAGCTGAGAATTATTTGGGAAGGAAAGTGCATCAAGCTGTTATCACAGTACCTGCTTACTTCAATGATTCACAAAGGCAAGCTACAAAAGATGCAGGAAAAATTGCAGGTTTGGATGTCCTTCGAATTATTAACGAGCCAACAGCAGCGGCCTTAGCATTTGGGTTAGAAAAGAGCGACGGGAAGGTCATTGCCGTTTATGATTTAGGAGGTGGTACCTTTGACGTGTCCATTTTGGAAATTCTAGGAGGTGTTTTTGAAGTGAAAGCGACGAATGGAAATACATCCCTAGGAGGGGAAGACTTCGATCAGAGAATATTAGAATATTTTATAGAAGAATTTAAGAAGAAAGAAAATATCGATTTGAAAAATGATAAGTTAGCTTTACAGAGGTTGAGAGAAGCAGCTGAAACAGCCAAAATTGAATTATCCAGCAAGACGCAGACAGAAATTAATTTGCCTTTCATTACTGCGAACCAGACGGGACCAAAACATTTACAAATTAAGTTGACTCGTGCAAAGTTGGAAGAGTTATGTCATGATTTGTTAAAAGGAACGATCGAACCATGTGAGAAATGTATCAAGGATGCAAATGTGAAGAAGGATGAAATTAACGAAATTATTCTAGTTGGTGGTATGACCAGAATGCCAAAGGTATCCGAGACCGTAAAGCAGATATTTCAAAATAATCCCTCGAAGAGTGTGAACCCTGACGAAGCAGTTGCATTAGGTGCAGCCATCCAGGGAGGAGTATTAAAAGGAGAAATAAAAGATTTGTTGCTACTAGATGTGATTCCCCTATCTCTAGGTATAGAAACCCTAGGTGGAGTTTTTACCAAATTGATCAACAGAAACACTACCATCCCGACGAAAAAATCGCAGATATTTTCCACCGCAGCTGACAACCAAACACAGGTGAGTATCAAAGTATTCCAAGGAGAAAGAGAAATGGCATGCGATAATAAAATGTTAGGATCGTTTGATTTAGTGGGAATTCCACCTGCACCTAGAGGAGTCCCGCAAATTGAAGTCACCTTTGATGTAGACGCAAATGCGATTATTAACATTTCCGCAATTGACAAAATGACGAACAAGAAGCAGCAAATTACCATTCAGAGCAGTGGCGGATTGAGCAAGGAAGAAATTGAGAAGATGGTCCAGGAGGCTGAATTGAACAGGGAAAAGGACCAACAGAAAAAGAATCTAACAGATGCCAAAAACGAAGCAGAGACGCTAATTTACAGTTCGGAAAAACAGCTAGATGACTTCAAGGACAAAATTTCCGATTCAGACAAGGATGAGCTCAGACAGAGGATCACCACCCTGCGTGAGAAATTGTCAACTGAAGACT